TCTTTCACGATGATCCTGACACATTTCATACAAAACTCTAGGAAAGGGTTACTTTCTGTGGAAGTCAAGCTGTTTGATCAGCTTGACCCTTTGGTCTGGCTCTAAGCCACATACAACCAGAGGCTTTAGGTTTGCTGAGTGCTCACATTAGTGTGGACACTCTCTCCCCCTCCCATCCCAGCACACACACCAAAGAGAAGAGTACATTGTATTGTTTTGGCTTTTCCATCACACTCAACCTGGAAATTGTTGTGCTGGAAATTATTGGTAATTTCTAATCTTCCTCTAATATCAACCTACATCTCATTTGTGAGCAGGAGCTGTAGGAATATAAACATAGAAAAGCACTCTATTAATCTTATTTTAATAGAATGAGTGGTAATGGTACCTATTTCACAGGTAGACTGTATTCTTTTGATTTCTTCTACTTTTTTTTCCCCTTTGGCAGTATTGGATTAAATTTATGGCCTCATACTTGCTAGACAAGCACTCACCAGTTGACCAGAACCTCAGTCCTTTGGGCTTTTAGTTTGTTTTTCAGATATAGTCTCAAGCTTTTGCCCAAGTCAGCCTTGGATTAAGATCATTCTACTTCTACTTCCTGAGTAGCTGGGATTATAAGCATGAACCATCATGTCTGGTCTTATAGTCTTTTGATTTCTAATGAAATACCCATTAAAAAGAAGAAGGTATGTTGATGAATATAAATTTTAAAAGTAGATTGGGCTAATATGGAGCAGAACGCTTTTCTTTTATAAACAGGACAAATTGCCCTAACATGCTTATGTTTCTTGTTTCTTCCCTCCTCATCTGTTAGTAAAGTTGTCTTCTGGGCAGGTGCCAAATGATGTGTAAATATGAGGCAAACATAAAATAATTAAGGATCCAAGTGAGAAGCAAGAACTTTCTAGGGATGGGGGGAGGGTAGTCATAAATACCACGCAATTAAAAATGAGTGTGAAAAACTGTTGAGGCAGGAAGATGAAGCAGGCAAGCTACTTCCTCTTTTTCCTTGTCACTTAGGATAAATATTTTATAATAAGAAATGTTGAATTAATTTTTAAAATAAAGTCTGCTTATTTTTGTAAGTTTTCCTTATTGGGACACATGGGACTTCCCCTCTCTCTTGAACTTTTGACCACTGAGTCTGCTGAAATAGACTGACTGACAGTAGGCAGATTAACAAGAGAAAAGCACCCAAGTTTATTATGTGCCTGGGGACTTCACAGGAGAGTGAGGACACATGACTCAGTGAGGGTTGGAAGCTTATATAACCGCTTCATGGGGAGAGGGAAGTGGAGGAGTGTAGTAACTGATTTTTAGGGGAGAATAGACTTGAAGGCAGAAACTGACTTGGGGCAAAGTTTGTGTAGCTTTGGGTGTGATGTTTGACTTTCATTCTCTTTCTGTGATATGCCTTCACTTTTCTTGGTTGATAAAATAGCAAAGTATAGATGGCAAAGATGTTCCCTTTTGGTGGATCTCTAGTCTTTGGGTATATAAAGGAGCTCTAGAAAAGAGCTGTCCATCTTCCAATGCTGCCCAAGCACTTTTTCAATCTAAAACAATCTGCATATGAAGGTGCCATGTTTTTGGGTGCCATCTCAAGTGTACCTTCATTCTCAACTCAGAACTGAATCTTGGTCTATTTTAGTAGTTTATAATGCGATTTCATTTGCATATCACTTGTCACCATGTTGGAGAAAAGCATATTCTCTATCACTATGAAAATAAGAAAAGAGAAAGAAATGAAATAGATAGGAAACATCTGTCAGCAAGCAAGAGATTCTTGTTATGTGTGACTTCAAGGACACAGGACAGTCAGGCACTACATGACTAGTGATGCTTGTACAGATGTGTTTCCTTAGCTCAAGATGGTGTCTCTGGAGACTGACATTACCCATTGGCAGTTGTTATAGAAACACATTTGCTTACAGGTACACATCAAACTATAAAAAGAATGGGAAACTTCTGTATCATAAATACAAGTGAGCTCTTATCTCTGAACTGTCAGGTTGTGGGAGGCCTTTCTTTCCTTTGAAAAGATATTGATGGACACAGAGTCTCACCCTTTCAAGTGACAAAACTGAAAAAGCAAATGCTTTTCTTCTGTCTACCTTTAATGGGTAGTTGAAAATGGTTCAAGTGCTTTCCTTTTATTAACTTTTGGCAGTTTAGTTTTTCTGTTTATACAGAATTTAGAGGCAGAGAGGGATTAAATGCTTTGCCCTAGAGGCTGTGGTAGAGCTAGACCTGGACTTTGAGGGTCTCACCCTAAGCAATATGATTCCCATCTTGCTCTCATCTCATGTCATGGCATGGAGAGTGGACCAAAGTTTAAAAAAAATAAAAAGTAGCCAAGGTCAATGAAGTGCTCAGTGAGTGACAGGGATTAGCAACTGCACAGATATTCCCTTTGGGGGTGCCCCAAGGTGAAAATGTGTATCACAATACAACATTAAACTTGGTTAAAAAAGAGATGACAGTGAATTTTGAAACATGATAACTAGCCAGGAAGAACACCTTTTTCTTTTCCCCCAAGTCAGATTTTAGTGCTATTGACAAGGGGAGCTTAGCTGTGATAAAGTGCAGGAGTTTAAATTTTTTAGAGAAAACTTGACATGAATTTTATATTATACTCATAGGTGAAAGGAAAAAAATGCATTCAATCAAAAGTAATGGTGTATGTGGCTTGCCAGACAATCTATTAAAGAGTTCATCCAGCAAGTCTTGAATGACAGGTTTTTTATTTCCTACCTAATCTTAGCAGAAAATACGTTTTGTTCACCATTGTATCTCTAACACCAAGCACAATGCCCAGCACACAGCACTTACTGGCAAGCAAACAGGACTCGCCTTAGGTTCTGATCTTGGTGCTTCACTGAATAACTGCAAATGAGCCAGATGACTAATTGTCCTTGGTGAAAGAGAAGACTCTAGGTGTATTGACTTCTTAAGGATCACTTTGTCTTTAAAATTCTGGTTCTAAAATCTTAAATGGAACACTTTTAATGGGATTTTTGGAACATTGCATGTGGTGTTTGGTTTTGCTTTTGATACTTTCATGCGTTAAATCTTTTTTTTTATTGTATAGAATTCCATTTATTTGAAAAATCCAGGATAGGTAAATCCACAGAAAGCAAGTTGGTGTTTACCAGAAATGGAAATGGAAAAGAGGGAATAAGTAATGAATGTTTAATGAGTACAGGGTCTTCTTTGGGTGTAATGAAAGAAGTTCTGGAATAACAGAAGTGACTGTGTCATGCATTAAATTCTTGACATTACTTTCTCCCAGCACAGTGGAGAGCGAATAAGAACACACTACATGATGGGAAATGAGAAGCTAGATGCACCCAAGCCAGATGCAAGTCATTCACTCTGGAGAACAGACATCACCATGAGAGGCACAAGCACTGTCACCTCAAATTCAAGCCAAGAGGTGTGTCTTAGGCAGCTTTGGCAGAATTTTCTCTCTGAACTTCTAGAAGTTTACATAGATTTTGTTCTTCCTTAGAAATTCTTTCCTTCCTAAAGAAGGTAATGTAATAGTTCTTGTGTAGAATCTTAGAGTCATCTTTTGGTGAAGGACTTGACGACACAATTAGTTCACACATTCTTTTTTTTTTTTATAGGACAATTATGATGCCTGTACCAGGGTAGCATGACATGTCTGTTAGAGAACTTAAGGTTCCCAAATTCATCATTCCTGGGACAATTTCTTCTTGTCATTTTGCTGGTAATCAGGATATATGATACTATTAATTTAACCAATATCAAAAACTATTTCATAACAACTCTTTTAGAACACAGGATAGAACAGTGTTTCCTAAGTAACATTTCACAGAAAAAACTTAGTTTTCTGGGGTGGTCAGTGAATGAGTGTCATTCAAAAATAACAATAGAGGGCCAGGCATGGTGAGAGGATGCCTGTCAATCCTAGTACTCAGGTGGTGGAGGCAAGAGGATCATGAGTTCAAGGCCAGCTGTCACAGGAAGACCCTGTCTCAAAATGATACAATACAAAACAAATAAAATGACCTCCCTCAAAGCCCCACCTTCCCCAAAGGTAGATTAGATTAAACAGACAAGATGATGAGATGAGATAGGGAGGATTCCTATTTGAGAAACAGTAGGTTAATGGATTGGCAGGAGGAGGAGAGTATATAAGTTTCCCAAACAGATTTGTTTAAGAAACTTGTTTTTTCCCAGCAAATATTTTGTGGGATTTTTGTCTCATGGAACATAACTTGAGATATAATCTATTTGTAATGGTTGTGTGCAATGTTTTTCTTGTCAGAATTTTCAATTTAGGGTAAGGTCAAGGTAATTTTTCTTTAACAAATTGAAAAGTGGATGTGATATCAAGAAAAAAACATATTATACTTGACTACTTGGATCATATATTATTTTGAATAAAGGTGCAGTTTATGTAATTAGTTTCATTTTTCACAATAGGGTATATTTTACATCTAACACTGATATACTATAGTTTTGTAAACATACATTTATTCTTGGATTTAAGTAACCAGATTTATATATTATGAGGTATATAGACTCTTAGGGTTGCCTGAATTAACAATAAATGATCTTTAAATTATGTAACTGATGACAAATATTGCACAATAAATATTATGGTAACTTATTTTTCTGATTTTTCAAGAGTGTAGTATGCATTAAAAATGTACAAATAACTAGTAAATTTGTAAAAATTGAGACAATGAGCAGAATTCAAGGATGATTATTTTTTGGAACAATAATGCTTTTAGAATTCTTAAATTATATATCAACATTTGTTAACTGAAACTTCTCATGTTTAATGATGTTTACAATTAATACAATACAATACTCCCTAATATAAGATTAAGAGTCATAATTGACTCAGAATAGATTCTTTGAAGTGGTTCACAGGGCTTTTCATAATAAATTACTAGCCTCTAATCAGCTAATATAAATGCATTTTTTTAGGCTGTGAGAAATACATGTATGTCTCATAAAACATTTAATTTAAGTTAATGAAATGAGTTTGAATGGTTCACATTCTCTATTTGGAAACAGATTTGTGGCCGACCTTCCATGAAAGCTTTATTTAGAGTGAGTTGAAGAATTTTTGAGATAGCAGGCTTTGGTTTGTGACATCTTGGGAGCTAAAGCTAAGTGGCTTCCCTAGAATCTCTATGACCCATTAAACCATTTTATGAATGAATTGAGTTAGTGAAAGATAAATAAAATTTCTCTCTTGGATTTCTTAACCAGCTTAGAAGAATCTTGACTTTAATAGTTTGTCAAACTGAATTTTGCCTGAGACAATGTTCTTTCCACTTGGGGGACTGACCCTGTTACACCCCTGGGTTCTGTTCTGTTCACTCACATGCCATTGAGATAAGGAGAGTGAAGTGTGAGCCAAGCTGAGATGAAGGCTGGCAAGGTCGTTGCTGCCAGAGCACAAAAGACACAGAGCTCAAGGGCGTTGTGGTCCATGCAAAGACTCTGGCCAGTGAAGTTTAAAAATATAAATATTTTGACAGGATAAAAATGAGGGTCCCTGTATTTGAGGATGTAGAAGATGAAACCGAAGAGGAAAAGCCAGAGGAAGAAGAAAATGAAGAAGACAAGGTGAGTGAGAAAGAACCTACCCGTGAACAGTATTTAGCCCTCTGATAGATAAGGAGAAAAACAGTCTCTCTCTCTTTTATTTTTTCTTTTTTGGAACAGGTATTCCGTAAGCCTGTTATTGAAGACCTCAGCATGGAATTGGCCAGAAAATGCACTGAACTTATTAGTGATGTAAGTGACTTGAGTGACTTATTTTGTATTGCATGTGGGGAACAGTTATGTCATAGAGCTGGAGAGAAACCCCTGAAATCTATTAAAACACTATTATTTTTTAGATCATGGAACTAAATCCAGAAATTTTAAGTGATTTCCCCAAGGTCATCTATACAGAGAGTTTCTACTCAAGCAAGTCTCCTCATTCTTAATCCAGAATCCTCTTAGGAGCTTTGCTCTCACTCTGGCATGAAATCACAAGGCACTGAATTGTAGAGCATATTCCATTTGAGAACCCCCAAGGACTTTAAAATTAGTATAATGATGTAATTTGTCTTGGGAGAATCTCCTTCTAAATGAATAATTTTTAATAGGGAGTCTCTTTATCTAAATGAAAGATTTTTAATATTTCGAGAGTCTTTTGAAGAATTTGATAAATGCAATCATTTTGCAAGCCAAGCAAATGTGTATACCTATCTGCCTATAACATTTATTTACAATTTAGGCTTTGTGGATAACTAAACCTGGATGATGATATTAGTGAAAATGTGCATTGTAGTTGTGCCTTTTTGTTTTTTGATTACTGGGCTAATTAGTTTATATTATAATTCAGAGAAATCCTAGAATTATTTAGTGTGTATGCACACACATACATATTAAATATATAAACTAGAATTCTAGAAGCCCAAGGAAGAGTATTATTCCCTAGGGATGAGAATTTGGGTGATCCTTATTATCACCTGTTAGTCCACCATGCCATAAGGGAAATTTGACCCCTGTGAAGTGTATCTTCATTTGAGAGATTGGCGCTATAATGATTTTTGTGGTTGTTAATGAACAGAGAAATGGGGGTATTTGTTTTCAAAGGAAGTTCATCTGGGATTTCCTGGGCAGTTGGGGGTCGTAAGCTTACAGGTGAAGTCAACTTGCCTGAGTTGACTCAACAGTAGCATGGGATGTTATTGACCTGGCAGGGTTCAGTTCCTCAAGGTAACATTTATAACAGTAAGATTAAATAATGCTACACATCCAAAATGCTGAGTCTACTCTCTGGACCATTGTGGGTATTCAGTAAATGCTAGCTGCTCTTAACCACTCCATCTGTAGCTTACTCCTGTGTCTGTCCAATCATGTTTGGTATATGACTCTTGATTTATGTCTTCTGGTCAGTCAGAAAGGGCTAACAGACAGTGTTGTGAATCATACCTCCTCCCATCTACTTGACATGTGATGTAATTAAGTTGTAAATTAAGTATGTCTTTGTGCTGTTACTTAATAATAGTCATAAAACTACTTATGCACGTGAAAGTTCTTTGTAAACCTTTGACAATGATGACAGTAACCATAAGAACATGAGTGACAGTTAAGCTTTGTTGATTATTGCTTGTGTGGCAGACATTGTAGCTTGTGAGGTAGGCCCTCCTGCTTTTTCCTATTTTAGAAGTGAAGAGATGGAGGCACAGAGAAGTTAAGTAACTTGTGTGGACCACACAGCTAAGCAGAAGAAGTAGGACTTGGACACAAAGCCCCCTGTTGTGTTATCTCTACTGTAGATTTCCATGTAAAGTCTATCTCCCTTTATTATTATTTATTATGTTAATATTTGTAATAGCAATGTTACCATATATAACCTTATATTCTTAACTCTGGAGATAGTACTCTTCCAGCTTTGATATGTGTTTGTGAAGTGTAGTATTGCTGAGCTAAACTATTACATGAACTGTAGGACTAAAGTAGTAACTTTAATTAGTAGGCAATTTGTTGGAATTGTTCTGGGTAAGTTGCTTATCAGTGAATGTGGTGAGGTGTTGTGTTTTTTATCATTTTTGCAAAAGCCATGTTATTTTACTCCCCATTAGGTGAAACTGAACATATGAGAGAATTTCAGTTTGTTGCAGATTTATGCTGCAGGAAAGAATGTCTGTCTACTTAAATATCTAGAGTATGACTGTTGTGGCTTAATTTATGTCTGTGTATGTGTTCACATTTTGCTTCACACACTTACTAAGATACTCATTTAATTTTCAAATTTACTAATGAAGAGTCTGAAATGGAAATAATACTTTCATTTCCAAAAAGTAAAAAGAAGGGCTTATATAATCATTTAAAAATCATTTAAAAAAATCATTCAAAATTTTTGGACTTGGGGATATAGCTCAGTGGTAGAGTATTGCCTGGCATGTGTGGGGCCCTGGGTTTGATACCCAGCACTGCAAAACAAAAACAAACAACCAAAACCTGATGAATTTTAATTTATTCTTACCAGAAGGGCATGGCATATTGGACTAAGTTAAATTTTTAGCTTTGAGAAGTTCAGTTTTGATATTATTATTAGGTAATAATTTGCTTATTCTTTCCCAGTGGCATCAGTGTTTTCATGTGAACCAGATAAAGTTAAATTTGAAAAATTGTTCTTCAAATCTAGATTTGAAATTCTTACCTCTGCTATATTGTTGCATGCCTAGCTGGTTGTCTACAATGCATCAATCAGGAAGATAAAACAGATATGAAATTTGTTGCACTCCCACACTGAATTAGACCTGCGAGCTGTTTGAACCTGTATTGTATTTCTAATTGTGCCCATCTGTGTGTCCCACATTTAATTTAGTGCACCAATCCTCCCCATCCCTGTCTCACACTAAAAATTAAACACAAACTTTCAAATGTGTTGGTTTCATTTACTAATCCATCGTGTCCCAGAGAGATACCACGATGCTTTCCTGAACCTTTGGTTGGTTTGAAGGTAGTTTTGTTTCACTCTGTCACCAAGTGAGTGTGGGGTGGTGTTTGCTTACTGGCAGGTCCTAGTCCTAAAGCTTACAAAAACAGCCTCATGTGCCCTAGATCAAGTCACTTAGCTGAAGAGAATCCTAGGATTTGAAATAAGGTCTGTGGGACCCTGAAGCCTTGACCATGGTGATGTCCTTCCCCCCCTGCTGTGTGGCACCCCATGTGGTTCATGTGGCACCCCATGAACAGATTATATTACATGCTGCAAGTCTGGGTAGGATCTATGAGCTAAATTTACAGGAGTGAAACCCAAGATTGAGTAGCTTGCTAGTGGCTACTTTCCATTCTGTGTCCTGTTTTAGGTGGGAAGAGGGTTTTAGGGTTTCTCTTTGCAGGGCAGCTTCTCTCCAGGCCCTTCCTCATTCCAGTTTTTCCTCTTTGGACCTCTTCCAGTCTTCTGTGGCTTCATCAGGGTGGAATAACCAGAACTGTGCACAGCAGTCCAGCTGCGGAGTGCCTGGGCTTATGAGAAGAGTCAAATGGTATTTTGCCTTGCCCCCAGCCTCCTTTGTGAGGCAGCTGTCTAGTTTCTGGGGCTCAGGAGCTACAGAAAGCTTTTGGACACCAGGGCCATTTTCAGTCCTAATTTCAGACTTGTAGCTGATAGCTTAGGCCTATCATCGTTGAATAGTGTTTGAATGGTTTTAGCCTCATGAGGAATGGATCTAATCTGTGGGTTTTGCTCTCCTTCCTGGCCCTTTCAGAGCTTGTGAGGTTCATCTCTTTAAGCTTGTCATTTCACTCTGCACAAGAGCTGGTGTCATCAGCAGACCAGAGCCCACGCTGTATCATCCCCTTGCCAGACGGTGCACAAAATGTTAAGTGAGATCAGTATGGAGATCGACCTGGGAGGCTGAGCTGTTTAGAATTCTCCACAGAGAGAAATGTCAGCCTTCCAGGTCAAGTGGCTTCTCTTTGGGGATCAATATAAGACATTTTTCTTTCCTCTCTTCCTTTTTTTTCTTTCTCTTTCTTTTCCTCTTCTCTCCTTTCCTCCTTCCTCCCTCCCTCCCTCCCTTCTTTTCTCCTTCCCTCTTTCTTTCCTCCTACACTCCTTCTTTCCTCCCTCCCTTCTTCCTTTCTTTCTTCCTTCCCTCCTTCCTTCCTTTTTTCCTTTCCTCCTCCTTTTTCCTTCTGCAAAACTCACTTCTCAATCTTGAGTGACACCTAGTTTTCCAAGGCAGGCAGCCTTTTATTTTTTTGTTAAAACTTTTTATTTCCCTAGCTAAACTCTCTCTGACATTTGGTCCTGTTTTGTCAAATCCCAAGTCAATTCCTTGAATAAGTTAAACCTTTCCACTCTACTGAGCTTCCCAAATCATAAATCTAGTAGCCTCCTGACAGGTGGTCATGAAAATGTTGAGCCAAAGGGACTGTTGGAGGTGTCATGTAAATTAGACACAAATTGCCTCTTGCATCTGCATGTGACCTCTGACTCAATGTTTTGGTTCAAAGCTTTTTAGGGTGTTCATTTGTGGAGGAGCGGGACCACTTTCTAGGCAAATGAACATTGTTTGCTGTGGATAAATATGCCCAGTGTGGAAACATTAAATCCCATGGTTAGCCCTCCAGAGAAAATTCGGACTGTGTTAGAAAACCTGGGAGAGTGACCTCGGGCATGACCTGCCAGTTAATTAACAATGAAGGAGCCACCGCTCTTCCTTCTCAGGGTTTTTCAAACTTCACTGTGTGACTTCATTGTTGAGAAGATTTTCTAGATGATCTCAGTGATGCATGCATGTAAAGGAAAATGCCCTCAAACTTTTCCATGTCTGTCATCCAGCTTCAGCCATTAGCTAAACTCTCATTCATTGCAAGAGACCTGGTCAGGAGAAGAAAGTAACACCGAGCCAATTTCACTCCCATTGTAGTGGGGGACATTGTGGGATTAGTGGGTAAGGCCAAAGAGCAAGATAAGTGTTTGGGACATCTTACTGATCACAAAGCTATCAACTTTGCCCCTTTTTATTTTTGATTTGAAAATATATTGGGCTGTGCATTGTTTATGAGTCCAGATATTGAAAGTAACAGGAAAACCTTAACAGTGTCACCTAACAAATGGGTGGGTATTGGGGGTGGTCCCTACATGCAGTCTGGAGTAGGTGGTTCTGTCTCAGTACAGTGGATGTTGTCATTCTCCCAGGCTCCTTTCTTTCTGCCTGCCTTCAAGACTGTGCGGGCTTATTGCCTTGTGATGACATCATTGCTGCTGCTCCTTGTGATTGGGAAGGAGAAAGATAAAGCATAATATGTCTAAGACTGTGCACAGTCTGTCCTTTTATACCAGAAACACTAGAAACCCTGCTGGAAAGACTTCCCCTAATGCCTCATGGCTAGAGCTGGACCCCTAACCTCCCCAGGCCAACCACTGGCCAGAGAGAAAGGCATGACTGTCCCTGGTTTAGATCACTTTGTCCTTTGGGGCTGGGGTAGGGGTCTGACTACTCTCATGAATCCATCTGAGCCTGTGAGCAGGCGAGAAGGGGAATGGCTGGGAAACCTATCCAATAGATGGTGCTGGCCGTAGGTTGTAAGATGTGGATATGGTTGCAATAGGAAATAGCCATCTCTTGGGTGATTTTTATTTGACTTAAGCTTTGTGCTATTGATTGATGTGGTTCCCTTTTGTTTATTATTTATTTCCTGTTACCCTGGCATAGAATGCTACTAATGTTCAACGTTTCTTCTTTTTATCAAAACTTAAGATGATTTGCTTATTGTCATTGCTATTATAAAATTCATTAGAAATCATGCACACAGATTCGTTAGGAATCATACAGAAAACATACACAAATTCATTTGAAATCCTACACAATCTTATGTGTGTGATTTCTAGGGGATTTTACAAAATGAATGCCAACACACAAATGCTCTTAAGTTTTCAAACACAACTTGAATTTAAAGATATAACTGTATGTATCATTTTAATAAAGACCAAAGAAAGTAATGGAGTCTAGCACTAAAGCTGAACTATTTGCCTTGCAGAACAAAGGAAGTAAATACTTCAGCCTTATCCAGTGCTCCCCAAGCATTCTGCTCATGTCAGACTTATCAGGAGGCTGGTAGCCATGAGCACATACCACTGCGGTGAAGAATGTGAATGTGATGGGGAGAAGATGGTGGCAAAAGATAAAAATAATGAGCCAAACTTAAGCCTAATGATAGGCTATTTTTTCTCACACTTAATTATATAACAGAGATCCTTTTTTTCTCCTCCTTATGATCAAAATAGCCTACTATTTATCATACTGCCATTAACGATTTAATTACTAGTGACTGAGGAGGGCGATTTGTAGGAACCTAAAATTATGGCTAATCTCTGAGAAGAAAAAAAAGTAATTTAGTGCTTAGATAAGATAAATATGTTCTCTTGTTGATTTCATGAATAAAGCAAGTGTTTAATGTGGTAGGCATTAGTATCTAAGAGTCACAGCGGTGAAATATGGAATTTTGAAATTACTTACTGTGTTTGTATCTGGTTATACCTCAGGTCAAGTCATGCCCCTCAAATCAGGTTTGCATATGGTAAAATCTCTGTGGAATGTTAGGGTGTAACATCAATATTAATCATGCCCTGTAAGAACCCAGTGGTACATACAATTAAATGCCACTTTTGGGTTATAATTAGGAAGACTGTATAATTTATCATCTCAACTGGGACACTTTTTTCCCCAGCCTAAGTATTTACAGTTTGGGGTAGATAAATATTATTTTATTACAGGATAGTATAACTTTCAGCAAATTACCTCAATCCTCTTGACTTGTCATAAGTTTTGTCTCCCAGTTTTTAGACTGTACAGCAATTAGTAATACAGCAGGATGACATTTTAGTTTCTTCTCCACATTTCCTGACTTCTTTTGACTCATGTGTCCATGTGGGGTCTTTCCCCAGGGGAACAGTTCTGGCCTCTTCTCAAGAAGAAGGGAGTGACTCATTTTACTAGTGAATTTGAGAGAAGTGAACATGTGCAGCTAAGCCCCTCTTGGCTTTCTCTGGCTTATCTGCTTGCTCACACCAAGGGGGCATTCTGGCATGAACTGTACCACCTGGCAAATTTTCTGGGCAGATTCTGCTCCTATTGTGGAGAGAGGAAGAGGATAAGGAGGCAAAGGGGACTCATAAATTGGGCAGGTTTGATTTGGGGAAATTTATTAGTAACAGGAAGCTTGTCCTGGCCAGTTTAAGGGCCCACTCCAAACCAGCATGTATAGGTAATAGCGCTAATAATAATCTCCATTTGTTTTTCTTCTTTTACTTCTGGAGGTAGGCAGCTATGTTTCTCTTTGACCATAGTCTCAGCTGTGTTAAGGTCAGTGGCTTACAGGTAGCAGTGAACTTATAAGAGGGAGATGGAGCTTGGTGAATAATTACACTGAGCAAAGAGGACTAATAGTCTGTGGCCCATTGATCCTTGATGATAATTGGGCCTTGCTTATTTGGAGAACAATGCCTTACTTGCCTTACTGCCTTTCTGATTCTGTCTGGATCTCTGTTTATTTTTCGGTTTTGGAGTGGGGACAGTACTGGGGTTTGAACTCAGGGCCTCACACTTGCCAGGCAGGCATTCTTACCACCTGAGCCTCTGTTAGCCCAACTTGGTTGGTCTTGAGGAGCATCTCACATTTGAATATTTATTTCAGAAAATCAACTTTGTCAAAAGCGTATTTCTCTGTTCAGAAAAGGCTATTTCAATTGTTTTTCTTCTTTCTCTTCTTATATTGATTATTCTCTTTTTAAGATCCACTATAAAGAAGAATATAAAAAGTCTAAGGACAAGTGTACATTTGTGACTGACACTCCTATGCTAAACCATGTAAAAAATATTGGCGCTTTTATTTCTGAGGTAAGAACTCAAAACTTGTAAAATGAGCTATTTTTCTTTTTCTGTTTGTGTAGATAAGTCTGCATTAAAATTAGAGACTATTTTTGAAAGCATCACTGGATGGTGTTCATATCTAAATTATCATCTAATTCTTTGCCCTATATTAATTAACTCATGTAGACTGATCTTACTATGTTTGGTTGACACATTTCATTGTATACTGTATATGTATGTTTTGATTTTAGCCCCTTCTTATTTATCTAGAATTACTCTTGAAAAAGGACATTTTTATTCAGTAAGTAGAAGACTCTGTCAACATAGTTGATTTTAAAACGTCCAAATTATTGATTTCCTAGTGATGTATTAAGATCAATAATTGAATATCATTTTGGAAATAAGTAAATTTTACCAGCCAGTTCCATAAAATGTAATATAATAATTTTAAGTTAATTTAAACTGCTTTTTAAGTGGCTCAAATTCAGCTTAACAGAGGCAGCAATTATGAAATCACAAAGAGAAGTGTACTGGGTTCATTTTCCAGTTCAAGAAATCCTGTTGTCTCTTTTTGAGAGCATTTGGAACAGCAGTTGGTGTTGTGTTGTAAGACACAACATTCACAATCATTTCTCTGCCGAAGCATTGCTGCACTATGTGAATAAACTTGAAAAAGAGAACAAATAAGATCATGCTGTAAATGACTGACCTCTAGTGTTTTGTAAGTTATGTGGGGGAAAAAAAAAAGAGACCAACGTGATGTTCTCAGGATTATCTGCTAACACGAAACAATTCTGAGAAAATCAGTCCATTTTCTTTGATTATTACCAACACCCAGCGTTGTGGGGACAAAAGGCTTACACAGGATATATGCTCAATAAATCAACACTCAAATCAGGCTCTTGAGTGTGGGGAAACATCAAGGCCCTCATCCACAGAGCATGAAAGAACACGGTTTTGTTTACTTGGATTAGCTGTGTGATTTCTCCTGTGCACAGAAATTCATGGTGTTCCCAATTGTGATTGATTAATTTTCCTGAAGGAGTTAACTGCAGAGTGAAAAATTGCAAGTGGGTGATCTATTGTGTTCTCTTGAACCTAATTTTCCCAAGAGGAAATGGTAAATGAGTGTTTGTCTTTTCGAGTAATGATTGAGCTAGGCCAGAGTCAGGCTGGAGCCTGGAGGACACACACAGCCACCAGGCTTCCCTCTCCCACTGGCTGCAGGAGGCCAAGAAGGCTTGAATATGCAAACACATTTCTTTAAAAAATTATTTTAATTCTATGAGTTTATGGAATACAGTGGGATCATCCTACACATGTGCACAATGTGTAATGATCAAATCAGGGTAGTTGCCATTCCCATCTCTTAAAATTAAAAAGAACATTTTGTCAGCACATAAAATTCTGTGTATTTATGGGGTACAGCGTGATGTCCCAGTACACATATATGATACACACGGATTGAATCAGGCTAATTAATGTTTCCATCTCCTTATCATTACTTTGTGTGTAGAGTCTTTGAGCTTCTCTCTTCTAGTTATTCGTAAATATATATAATAGGTTGTTGTGAACTATGGTCACCCCATGGTACTGTAGAATACTAGAACTTATTACCTGTACCTATGTTTTAGGACATGTTATCCAACCTCTCCATAAACCGCCCCACCCTGCCACATACCCCAAACCTTCCCAGCCTCTAGTTATCACTAGTCTTTGCCTTGGGTTCTGGACAGTAAATTCTAATGACTTGTGCTTTCTGGAACAACTCAGGCATCTCATTGTTTTCAGATTGCTATTTCACTGATCAAGCATATGAAACTGTCAATACACATAAATAGATTTATTTTTAGCAATGAGCATGGGTTTAAATAGAAGAGCAGTGTCATTATGTTCTTGAATGTCTCATTTAAGCTTTGTCCTTAAACTGGATTTATTTCTGTCTTTAGAAAATGTTCATCAGATCAAGTATCTAAATGCTTGGAGATTTTTAAAATCAATTCTCTTTCTACAGAAAGTTTTCTTTGTGTGTTCACAATGAAAACAAAAAGAATGTCTGTTTCTTTTCCTTTATTCCCCTTAGGCAAAATACAAAGGCAGCGTTAAGGCTGGGCTCTCCAACTCTCTTTATAAGCAGATGCCAGCCACCATTGACAGCGTCTTTGCCAGAGAGGTTTCACAGCTTCAGAGTGAGGTGAGGTTTTCTTTCTTTTTATTTTTTTTTAAATTTTCCTTTTTTGTTTTATTTTATTTTATTTTTTTACCCCCTCCACTTGTGGTTTTCATCTAATGCTATAGATCAAGCATAGAATCTCAGAGAAGTTCTTCAGCTTTTGGTAAGTGTTGTTTAGCGCAGTGGATGTTGGAAGTAACTGGTCTACCTGCTGTCAGTAATCACAGGTGAAATGGTAGAAAAGGAAAAGAACCTGCAAGTTTAAGTCAGTCACAGAATGGTTTCCAAGTCCCATTTATTGCAATTTATAGAAGCAATTTTAATCTCATTTAAACAGTTCCCATAGATAAAATTCTTCTATCAACTACTAAATAATTCTCTGATGTACATGTGATCCTTAAGCAGAGAACATTTCAATAGCTTTTAAAAAGGCAGGTAAATAATAGCTAAGATAGGGAAACAGCTTAGGTGCCCAACAACTGGTTAAGAAAATATGCTACAGATGTATGACAGACAATTATTCAGCCATAAAGAAGAATGAAATTATGTCATTTGCTGGAAAATGAATGGAACTGGAGATCATTATGTTAAGCAAGATAAGCCAAGTTCAGAAAGACAAATATCATGTTTTCTCTCATATGTGGTATCTAGACCTAAAAAAATACATAACATGGAACTCTTTGAGGGGGAACCCAAGGGTGAGAGGAGGGGGAACAGAAAGGGTGATGGTGTAGTGAATATATATATTATTGTATAATGTATATATGTACATATATATGTATATATGTACATGAAAATAGTATAATGAAACCCACCAAAAACTATTAAAAAAGGATGGGGAGAATAGGGAATTTGATCAATGTGCATTATACGCATGTTGCAGATACCACCATGGAACGCCTCTGTATAATTAATTTATGCTAATAATTTTCTTCAAAGTCGCATAAGCAGATAATGGTTGAACTTGGAACCCACGGGTCCATGCTGGTGGTTCCTGCATTGCCTACTCTGTGGCTTACGCTTTTCATTTATTGCTCAAGCCACCAGCAAGACCTCCTTCAGGCAAAGTGGCAATTTTAGTGATTCCAGGCTGCACACAAACCTAAGAACTGTCTTCATATAAGCTCATTTTAAGTCCAGAGGAGTGAAGAGGTAATTTTTTTTTTCTTAATAGTATACCAGGGATGGGGGTATGGCTCAGATGATAGAGCACCTGCCTAGCAAGTGTGAGGCTCTGAGTTCAAACCCCAGTACTGCAAATAAATAAATACACAAATAGTACATCTATACATCAGTATTTTTAATACACCCAATATTCTGCATTTCTTATAACCAAATTCCAAAGTTGCTGCTTTCTGACTCCTTTATTTTGTTTTCTTCATAACACAATCTCATTATTTTTGTTGTTAAATTATTAATCTGTTACTTGGCTTTCTAAGCCACATGAGAGCAGGGACATCATCTGTTCTGTTCCCTTCTCTACTTCTGTGCTTGGGACAGTCCTGGCACATAGGTATGGATCAGTAAATACTTGTACAATAGGTTTTTTGTTGCATTTGTTTATTTTCTTCCTAAGGAGATGCTTCCTTTTCCTTTCATTTATATTCTTCACCACCACATTGGTGGTTAGCAGTAATAGTAAACATGTAGAAGTAGTAACTATGTGTCAGGTGCTGTTCTTTGCAGTTCACAGGTGTATATGTCATTCAATCCTCAAAACGACCTATGAGCTATCCCCATTTTAGAGATGTGGTAACAGAAATACAAAGAGTTTAAATATCTCACCCAAGGTCACACTACCTGTAAGTAAGTGGCAGAGCTGACACACCACCTGGGTAGTCTGGCTGCAGAGTCTTGAGTTAACCTCACACTATTCCATATCTTCCTATCATTTCTGCCCCTCTTTCTTACTAAGCACATTTGCTTCTTTCCCTGGAATCATTTCATTTTGAAGTAGAAGAGCTCCAATAATTATAAAACAGTACAACAGTTGATTATTCTTGAAAAACCCTGAGTATAATTATGCTTTTCAGAACATCTTTAAAGTAATTCATTATTATAAATGTAAGCATCCACTGTATACCCAACTTGGCAGTCAGCTAATCGCAGCCATGCAGCCTGTGGCTAAAAATATATGATGTTAAGGTTCTGCATGGATGGCATCGGAATGGGACAGTGTTACAAGAATCTGTGTTTTTATACATAGTGGCCACAGGATCCTGTTTGAGTTCACAGGTGTCTATGTTGTGGGACTAAAAGCCCAGTTACCTATGTGGTACTCAGTAAGTATTCTTTCTATAAGTTAAACATGTACATACATCATACACATATGTGTACATACACGAGACATAAAAATCTATTAGAAGATAAAATATATAATAAGTACATATATCACTTACATTAGCTTACTCAGATATAACATATATGAGACTATTGCAGATGGCCTCTACTCTTTGGGTCTCTAGTAGCATAGGAGACTTGAGTTCTCAAAGTGTGACTAAAACCGTTTTAATTTAGGGAAATGCCACATAACGTCAAATCCTAAGAAATCAAATTTATCATAAAATTTATTAGCTTTACATCATTTCCCATTAGCTATTTTAAGGAAGAAAATTAATATGATAAATTAAAGTTCAGCTGCCTCCAATTTGACACCATCTCAATTCTAAAGTAGTACTTAGTAGCAGCTATAAATGAAATGACTATTTTAAAGCAGCAAGTGGAAAACTATGTAGCCTTTTAAAGAGTGCTTTTTCAAATCGTACTGATGAGTCACCATTTCTATGATAACTCACAAAATGATCAGCTGCGTTGGTTATGTTTATAAAGTTGCAAGTATGATAGTCAGCCTACAATACAAAATTCACCAGGCATCCATCAAAAGGAGACTGGCAGCTGCTAGCTCTTTTAATTTAAGAGGAAAGACCAGGTTTCCTAGAAGTTTTTCCTTGTCTTTATTGACTTGGTCACCCATTAAACGTTCCCCTTCTTTCCCTCAGAGTTATAAAGTGTAATGGAACTGAGATAATGGACTTTCTTAACCTGAGTGGAGGTTCTTAAGGGTTTCCTGTTTGACATAAGTAATCACTGAAAATGTAAACATATGTTCATCAGAATTAGCTATCTTTATGGTGTAAATTGATGGACAGATCGTAACAAGATGATAGATACTTGGGATAACGTAAAGTACTGCATTTGAGTCCTGGTAAATCAACCACATGCACAGGATTGGACATGGGAACCTGGCTGGCAGAAGACCCAAGTGCATTAATTGTCTGAAATCTCAGCACCGCCATCCAAAGGAAGATGTCATGACCTGTGGATGCACCAATGGCATTTGGCAGGTGGAAGACGATAACCTGTATTAAATTAAATAATTCTGATTAGGATTAAGTCAGACCATTGTGGGGACCCTAAAAAAGAGATGGACAAATTGGGATTTGGATTAAAGAGAGCGTCATGGGAGTTCAGGAGTTCACTCCCTTAATCCATGCAGACAGTCTAGAGGGTGGAAGTTGTTGGGCTGTCTTCCCACACTGGAAATTCTGTATTGTGAGGTAAGCTCTTTTTATGAGCCCAGATAAATGCAGCTGTGCAGAGATAGCTTGGGGTTTGAGTAAAGAAGAGCTTTCAAAATTTAGAGACTGTGATGGCTCAAGTTGAGTTCTTCCTCTGAAGTTTTAAAGAAAAACTAAGTAGGGAGCCAGAGAGGGGATTTGAATATGAATAGTTTTACTAGATGGATTTTTTTTTGGACAGTAAGATTCAACGGCTTTATTTGTAAAAGTTAGTTTTATAATTATCACTTAAATCCTTTGATTGGCATATTATCTAAGTTAAATGGATGTTAGTTTTGTTTATAAAAACTTATAAGGAGTGTAAGTTTATGAGAATGTTGAGTAAACTCATTTATTCATGCATTCACTAAGCTTTGATTGCATCTACTCTGTGTCATTCACCATGATAGGCACAGGATATTAAAAGATGTGTAAGATATTCCTCTCCAGGAACACATATTGGCAAATAATTCTTTCTTAAGTTTAACTATATTTTTTTCAGTGAAAACTAGACATTGTTTTGTTCTTGGTAAAGACTGTTACAGTTTTATTTTCTTGTGCCATGTAATTCCAACTCCATTTAACACGCTTTGACTATTAAACTCTTAGTATATCTTGAGATTCATTTTGTCTTTACTTTCTTCACTCATTAATGTTTTATTCTTATTCATTATTGTTATTCATTAATTCACTTATTAACTCACTGAGGAGATATTCATTGATACAAAATTTTTGCAATACCACTCTTCTGGGCTATGAGTATTTGGGGAATTAGACAGTTATGCTCCAGTAAGGAAAGATGGTCAGCAAGTAATTCTGTGAACATTAAAGACAGTAATGAAGAACTGTGAAGGAAATGGATAGGATAATGAGTGATACAAACTGAGAGGAAGGGGATAAGTTGGTCGCTGTCTTCGGAATCTTTAATTTCCAACATTTGTGTTGAGTTTGGTTACATCTGCTTCTCCAGTATCTTTTCTTGTGCCTCCTTTTCATTCCAGAACACAGCAAATTTAACATGGTGGTACTGGATAGTGTTGGTATAGTGTTTAAATATCTAAAGAAGATAAGGCTTGACAAGTCTGAAAAATTTGTCTGCACATTATATTTTCTTCCAAAGATTTGGGCATTTAATGAGGTTTATATTATATTACAGCTGTGTCTACATGAAATCAGGCCCTTTCATTTAAGAATAAACAATTCACTTTTGATAATATCTTTATTACTGTCTAATAGTTGTACAGGAGGTTTCCTTGTGACATTTCCATATATGCATTCAAGTGCCCTACCACTTGAGCCATGCTCCCAGTTCAACAGTTCACTTTAAATATTCTGAAAATTCCCCCTCTCGGTCAAATTCCCTCTCCTTGGTTAAATCTTGTTTTTTCAAGATTTAAATCTTGGACATTTATAACCCTGAAAGCTCTCAGAAGTGGATGACTTCCCAAAACTGTAGGTGGATACTAAGCAAAGTGACTAAAATTGGGGATTTCATCTTTTGGACAAGGATGTTTTGAAATAAATGACAGAGTTTGCATTATCAATCTAAACCAAACCACTGAGATGAGAGCGTTATATATATTATCTTGTTAACTGTTATATGCACTAACTTTTAACTGTCATCAGTGATATTTAAATCTGTAAAATCCTAGCCAAACACTGGAATTTAGCAGGTAGGAATTTAATATGCCTCTAGTGGAACTGATAATTATTTGTGTGTTTTAAGGTTGCCTACAAGCAGAAACACGATGCCACTAAAGGCTTCTCAGATTACTCCCACATGCAGGAGCCCCCGGAGGTCAAACACGCCATGGAGGTCAACAAACGCCAGAGTAATGTAAGCAAGTTCTTTTCTCATGATCTTTCTGGAAATTGGTAGTGAATCCAAAACAGGACTTAGGATTATTTTGTTGAAATTGAAATATTATGACTTTAAAATTTCTTATCAGCAAAAGGTCTAACTGAATTAATCAAAGCCTTGATTCAACAGAATGTCTTTAAGCTGAAAGGCATTTTCAGGCATTGGACATTTTGCTTAGAAGAAGAATCTTTGACCTATTGGGTTATCAGTGTTTCAAGGGCATCCTTGATTTGTTGGGGAGCCCATGTTTCCAGTCTAGAATGGCAGATGCACTGGAACAAAAATTATCTGCAACTGGAGACCCCAGAAGAGTCATTCACAAATTCTAGCTAGGTTGTACATTCTGTTTTTTCTGTAGAATGCTTGTAGGGACTGAATTATCAAACTTAAGACCCAGCAGACATGGAATATGACAGCAAGAGGCTCCTAATGGCTGACTTAGGAGCAGAAGCTAAGAGGGAGGAGGTTAACTTAGAGAAAACAGATTTCTTCATTGGTTATATGTTACCAGGCATTCTCTCAATTCCACCACTGTTTTGGTAGTCTAGGAGGATAATTTCTTCCTGAATTTATAGTGGAATTATAGCAGCATCATAAGTTCTTTGCTCTCTAAAGGAATGCACAAACATTGGTCAGTTTTTTGGTTTTTGTTTTTTTTTTTTGGCAGTACTGGAAACAGAACACAGGGACCTTGTACTTGCTAGACAAGCATTCTACCACTTGAGTTGGGTTCCCAGTCTTCTAGTTTGTTTTTCAGAAAGGGTCTCCTCCCTTTGCCTGGACCACGATCCTCAGGCTGACCTGGACCACGATCCTCTTACCTCTGCCTACTGAGTAGCCAGAGTACAGATGTGAACCATCATGCCCAGCTTGTTTGTTGAGATGGGAGAAGGGGCCTCCTTAACTTTTGCTTTGGCTGGCCTTAAGCGGTGGTTTCTGTCTCTACCTCTCAAGTGGCTGAATTAGTAGGCTTGTGTCACTATGCCCATCTGTTCAGGTTCTTAATGGGATAGAATCAATTTAGAGAAAGTGTCTGTCTTAGTTGGATCAAGAAACTCCTCTTCTTGGAAAAGCTCCTGACACCTCTTTTTTCTTGCACATGGCTTACCACTCAGTCCTCCTAAAGGTGCTTTGCTGACTCTGGGCCTCCAGTACCCAGCTGTGCAGGTGTCTCTTTGCAGGATGGCCACAATTATTTGATATTAAATTGCATCAGGTCAGTGTTTAAGAGAAAATTGGAGTGAGATTGCATAAACACATGCCAATACTAAAGCACTTTTCCAGGAAGTTTAAGACTCATGGGAGTTGAAGAAGTTACACGTTTGCAATTATTAGCAGGACTGTGATTTCAAGGAATTGCTTTGTAGGAACTGTTTGCCTACAGAATGACTATAATAATCATAGCTGCCACTTACCCAGCTCAGCCACACACCAGGCACTGGGCCAAGACTTTGATCATTTCCAATTCTCACGAAAATCCTGGGCTGAGTCCCATTTTGTTGATGAAGAAAATATGACTAAGGGATGAAACTCCTGAGTTCACTCTTTCTGTCACACCCTGCTGCCATCCTCTTAAAGGGCACTGGCAATTAGTCAAGATGAGAAATGACATTTTAAAAATCAAAATTCATATGCCCTGCAGGAAAAAATAATGAAGATACCCCGAGTTCCCACTATTTTGATATGGAGTTCATATAAAAGGCCAAGGGTTAGAAGGTGAGCTTCTAACCCCAGAGGTGGGGGCTGGTGTTACATGGAGCCCTGAGAGATCCCTTCTAACTCTATTATTCAATGAAATTCAAATACAGAAGTTCCTTATCATAGAACTTGCTTATTATTTTAACTCTGCCTTTTCTTTTCAAAGGTCTTTGATTGCGGGATTGAGGGAATAGAGTACAAAGCTCTTTTCTCCTCCATTCAATACTGTGTACTTATGGGAGAAGGATGTGTTTACTTATATTCCTCTGCCGACTCTGCTCAACCTTTACATGCAAAGTTTGTACATATAATAGGATTTAGAAAGTGTTTAAGACTATTTACTCAGATTTAAAGTGAGAAGGATATTTGTATTCTACCTGTGAGGTAGTTGACATTCCTCCAGAGTCAAGCCATTAGAATAATACATTTGTTGTCCCTACAATATGAAATTTAAACACTGGCCTTGGAAGTCAGAAGGAAAGCTTGGATGTATGTTTCTTGGTTCAGTGGGTGGATCTACAAATCCGCCTTTTATCTTATAAAAGATAAAACTCTGCCTGCCAGAAAATTTTAGCCCAAAGAAATTTATGGCAGTACATAGAATTACCCTTTTGTAATGTGCAATGTCACATTGTCCTCTGGTTGACATGACTTAATTTAAAATGAAAATGTGGCATCATATGTGAATCTGACTAACCTATGAACAGTGGGAGCCAACAACTCTGCTTACCTTTTTTGTAATTCTACTAAAATCAAGTCAGCTTTCTATGATTTGTTAAAGAATTGAGAAACTGGACAATCACAGCTCAGAGCTTTGAATTTCTGCCTCATGCCTTTTATTTCTGGTGATGCTTTTATTATAATGGTCACCGGTGGGCCAAAGAGAATAGTTTTCCTTTCAGACTCTTTCTCTCCCTTATGCCTTTAGAGATGTGAATAAGCAGAAGATAGGATTCTTCATGACCATTCAAATAAATCCTCACCTCTGGATAAGGAGTTCTAAGAGAAGAGTATTCTGGAGGCAGCAGTCTCTTGTAGCACTCAAAAATTCAGTGATCACAGAAGAGGAAATGTATTCCTCAGAATATCTTCCACTGTAGTACACAAAGGGAGAGCATTTGGAATCAGACCATGACTAAAATGCTTCCTTTGCCATATGTTGTGTGGATGACCTTGACCAAGTTATTTACCATCTCAAAATCTTAGTTTTCTCAGCTACAAAATAGAGACAATGATATCTACCCCCCACCCAGGCTCTCTCAAGTATTAAATTAAATAATACATGTAAAAGACACCGCAGAAGAGCCACTCCACGAACTATTAGGCCCTTTTGGCCCTCTTCCAGTTTTTAAAGGGTGATTTGGGAGTATAGGGTGACATCATAGTTAATTTGAAACAATTACAAGAAGTTTGATTTATAAATGGGCCAAATCAGTATGAAATTGATACTATTAAGAAGCATTTAGGTCAGAAGGGCATATTCAAAAGTTTCCTAAACCTATCTTGTTGATACTGTCACCAAAAAATGACTTAAAATAGCAATCTAAATCCTTTTGTACCTTAAGGGACATACCCTTGCCAATTTTTTCTAGTATAATTAGAGAAGCTGGAGGTACTCTCTTCTGTGCCTTTCCCCTGAAGATGGGCTTGTAATGAAAACCTCAGTTACATTATTGGTTCTCATCAATCTTAGGAGAGGCATGAAGTAAGTCAAACAAAGCTCAAACCACCATTTTAAGTTTGCAAGTAGTAAGTCTATGCAGACTTAGGCTGAAATTGGAAGGGTAAACTCTTCCAAAATGTTGTATTGGACATATATTAAAAAGTAGCATTCAGCGTGGGAAACAATATTCTTTTCAAGAATGATAGATGTACTGTCTTAAAATTAATAAAAGCTTATCAGTAGACAAATTTCTGTTCTATCAGAAAGTGAAAAAGCTTAAAGATAAATTAGTAAAATGATACTGGAAAATGATTATGGCTCTGTGTAGTTCTCCAATGTAACTTACAATAACAGTGATTTAGGATTAAGAATATATATAGTAGTGTTTGTTCATCATAGACAGAGTTGGTAGTAACACCTCTTCTGCCCTTTTCATAAGATTGTGGTGGTGATAAAATTAAAACATGAATAAGAAAACTCTTATGAACTATAAAATGACTTATAAACAATGACAACAATAATAGTGATAAATTATTCTGAACATAACTCCATATTTTACTTCATCTTTTAAAAGACTGAAAATTTTTCTATCTGCTGAATAGCATCAGATCGTACCTTTACTTACATTTAAGAGTTTTTATTCACTTATAGAAATAAAATTTAAATAAAGCATAATTAAAGGTAGTGAATTAAATTCACTAAGATATAAATAAGCACTTTTTGCAAATATCACAATGTAACCCCAGTACAATAATATGATAATAATAATAATAAAAAAGATAGAGTTACCAGGGGCTGTGGAAGTAGCTCAGTGGTAGAGCATTTGGCTAGTGTGCATGAGGCCCTGGGTTCCATCACCAGCACTACACACACACACACACACACACACACACACACACACACACACACACACACACACACACGATTTTACCATCTACCTGATTATTTGGTGACACCTGGAGAGCTTGTCTAATTTGTGATGATGACAAAAAATTTTCTTGAGAATGATTGAACTTGGCCTTCATTACAACTCTATACAGTTTATACTGCTCACTTCTGTTTCATAAAATTGAAAAGCTATCTCTCCTGTCTAGTGTCTTCTCACTAAGAATCATTTAAACTTCACCGGAGTAGCCAGCTGGATTTCTTTCCTTCAAGATCTTGTACTGCACTTGGCCTCTACTGGTATTGTCTGCTGGTGGCTTCCTCTCTCATCTCCAAGTGCTTCACTTTCACTTCAAGGACAGTCTGTGTGGAGGTTTTGCTTCTCTCTAATTCATTAATTCTGTAATTCACTCACCTCCCATGGAGTCTCAGATCATTCTTGTATGAATGTAAAATTCTTGCTGGAAGATGACTGTGAATTCTTTGTGTCTATGTCTAGCTATAGCTGGAGGACAAAGGCTTCTATTCTACTTTCAGACTCTCATTGGAGTTCCTTTTATTGGCTAAGACTGATCCATAACTACATAAGCAAGGAGAGGCTGGGGAACATAGTTTCAGCCTTGGAAGTAAGTGTGATGGAGTGCAGTTGAATGTAGACAATCTACAACAAAGATAGAGTGAGAACTCATACACACAAAGTATGAGTGCCCAGCACACAGGGTGTGCAACA